AAGACTGCTTTCTAATTAGGAATTTCTGTAAGTTCTGAGAGTCACCAGCTGTCCCAGTTTGGATCTGTATCTAAGTTTATCTTGACCTAAAAGTTAAATTATGTACTATTGTGCTACTTTAAAATTATTATTGCAACAAAACCAAATACCAGGAATTTGAATTAACTCCCAATCAGGTCTGCAGGAATGGAGACTCATCTAAAACATGCATTGCAGTGATGCTGGATATCAGAGTTGGGAATCATTGTTACATACATGTGTAGTTTTGCTGTTCTGAAACATGAATTTATTTATTTTTATTTTAACACCAAGCCATTTTCATTGCCTCTTTCCATAATGGGGACTATGTGGCTATTGTTTATTAATAATCAGGTTGTACCCTGACTATGTAATTTTAATATAAATTACTAACTTTGTTAATAATTGCCATTAGCAAAAATTTTTCATAGCCAAATCAGACCAATTGTTGGACAACAATTGCAAAATACAAGAAGAAATGTCAGAGATCCTCCAAGTAGGATGTAATTGTTCACAGAATACATGTTTTGAATCACATCAGTACAAGAAGCACCAAGAACGGGAAGACATGTTAAATGTGTTCTTCAGTGACCAAAACCACACTGAAGACACAAAAGCAGAAGAGGTGGTAAAACAGTAAGACAATAAGTAAGTTTGAGGAATTGTGGAAAGAGTTTTGCACACAGATGTGTTTGATAAAACACAACTATGATATTGAAGTTTATTGATCTATAGCAATACAATGCAAGAGTATAAAATTATTTATTTGGTGCTCTGCCTTTTAAACTTACTAGCTTCACAGTATTCAGGGAAGCTAAATAAGTTGTCAACAATGTCACCCTGGAAATACGGAAAAGCACTGCGCAGGTCCTGCTTTAACCTCATCCGTCTAAAGTCCCTCTAGAGTCAAAAGTCATTTTTTACGTAATTCAGCTGAGTTGCATTCAAACTTTGTGACATTTTCATTTCGTATATCTTCTGGAAAAACCTGCCATTGAGTTCATCCAGACAGAGTATAACAAGCAGTTCTATACCTGAAGTGTGGTTTATTGCCAACATTTGAGGAATAACTCATCCAGGTGTGGATATGTAGAAAAAAAGATGTTACTAAACCAAGTGTACTTTAACCTTTTTTGTGAAGAAGGGCTGAATCCCCTCATTGTATCTCGTGAGATAGATGTTGGCAGACAGTCAGAAGTTCAGGGAATACACAGTTTCTGATGTGACAAAACTTTTAGGGTCTATTTTTCTCTGTTTATGAACTGGACAGATGTAGTCCTCACTTACACGCTTCCGGAAATAAGTGGGGTTTGGATTCTATGTTTCTGTATACTCTCTTATTTTCTCTATAGTATTTTGGTTCGATCAGCCCTGAACTCTGCTAAAGTGAGTTGTACTACATACCAAGCAAAATGGTTTATAATAACCTTCCTTTAATTAGGCAAAAATAATAATAAAATAAGGAAATGACAGGTTTAGGTTTAGACAAACCAGAAAAAAATAAACATTATTCCCACAGAACAGTAAATTCATACAGGGTAAACACTAGTTATATAACCCAGTATTGTAAACTAAGATAATATGGCAGCAAATACTATCTACTTTGCAGGCCTGTTAAGATGCTCAGGAATCAGGATTCCCTCCGACTCAACAGTCCAGATATTGACTGTCAACTCAGTACCTTGTTGTCCAACGAATCCAAGCGATACTTCACCCAGTGTCCAGCGAGCCCTCTAAACCATCCAAAAACAGTAGCTCAGGGAAAAAGCAGTTGTGTGGCCTTCATGTGCTCTCCACATCGACGGCTCTCCTTTCCCTCGGTGCCAGAGGTACTCTGAGCGACACGGGCACTCAGAGTGACTATCTGGAGTCAAGGTCCTCGTTAACCAGTCCGGTAACGACCTTCTGTAACGTTTTAAGTGCTACTCTAACAGTCACAGCTGCTTACAAAAGTCCTTTGTAGCAACAGCTTTGCTCTAACTTTAGAGTGAATATACAACCAAGAAAACTAACACACAGTTAGACAGTTTCTAGCCAAAACTTGACTGTGTACTGGTAGCTTGCATAACTTCTCTTGAAGACAAGTTTTACTCACTTCTAGAAACTTCTTAAAACAACGGCTCCTCCTGTGCTATCCCTTCTCTCGCTCTTGCTTACTGTTCTCTCTCTCTTTCTGCTCCTTAAGGTCTGAATGATAATCAGATCATTAAAAAAATATTAGGAAAAGTGGTGTTTCTTGTAGATATAACATTAGGCTTTATGATTTTCTTTTCTCTTAGTCTTGGTACCCCACCTAAAACTTTGTTTTGTTTTTAGGGAAGAACTCTTCTGAATCCAGGACATTGCTGGGCCTTTGTAGATTTCCCAGGATGTTTTAGCCATCGCACTGTCCCACAAAGCTGCCATCATTCATGTATCCCTGGGTTACATTCCCAATATTGTTTCCCCAACTTCCTCCCTCTCTTGTGGCACACTCATGCACACTGGAAGAAAAAGTGCTTCCTGTGTGCCCTTGGGCACACAGGACTGCAGGTGCCCCTCATGAACATGCATGAGGGGCATGCTGTGCATGAGTGTGCCCCGCGTGAACACTGGACTGCATGCGGGGTCCTCCTATTTACAATGAGGACCCTGAACCCGGTTCTTCTGGTTCCCAGGAGACACTCTGAGATTCTTCAGTACAAAAGGTCCACACACACAGACACAGGCACTCATGCCTCCAGTGTGCATGTGCCGGAGCATGCATGTGCATGAGTGTGCACCTCATGCACACTCATGCTCCAGTGTGCATGAGGGGCTCCAGTGTGCCCATCATGCAGTTATGTGTCCCCATCTTGGTGCCTGCACGTTGGCGTTTACCCCAACGTGCAGGCACTCCAGAAAGGGTGGCACACTCATCATGCTCCAGTATGCATGTGCCCCTCATGCACATGCATGTGTGCACACTCATCAGGGGCTCCAGTGTGCTCCTCATGCACACTGGAGTGCATGAGGTTCAGGGTTCTGACCGTTGTCTGTCCTTATGGGCCAAACAACAGTTCAGATTACCCACCCTTTTTGGTACGGGGTGCTGGAGTGTGCCTCTCAGGGGTATTCATTTGTTCTACTGGGGTCTTCAACGGGGCAATGTCAGTGAGACATGGAGGGATGTGGTTGGGAGGAATGGCCCTGCTGATCTAAACTCCAGTGGTGAACTGTTGCTGGACTTCTGTGTTTGTCATGGATTGTCCTGTGCATGGCTGTTTGTCCTGTCTCTCTTAATTGAGCAGGATCCATTGAAACATCTTTTTAAATAATTCTTATTTTCTTAACCTCCTCCCAAAAAGCCCTGGTTTTGTTGCATTGCCATAAGCAATGTAATAGTTCCCCTTTCTCCATCATGCATACACAAATATAGAAAGTTGGGGTTACATTTATTCAGTTTTATAGCTGCATTTAGATACAAGTTCACACAATAGTTCCTAAACTTTGAAGTGCATATGAAAACAGGACTAACAATAACAAGAATAGCAGAAACTTTTTGATAATGTGCAACTAAGTAGCACAACTTTGTCAAAATGTACATAACGTGCATATTGAACTGTAAATATATAACAGGAAATGTACAATCCAGTGTGTCGGTGTAGAGAAAGCGCTCTGCAGTAATAACGGAAATATTTTTATCAAACATGTCTAAAAAAACTGCAATAACTGCATGTAAATGCCAGTAGGGAAGTAAACATTTCTTGATTTTGTTTAGAGCAGTGATTTGATTGACTAATTTAACAAGATAATTTTTTTTTCGTACCTTAATTTTTAAAATGCTTTAAATGAAATTAAAAGAGGCAGAAATGAATTGTGGGCAGGTTCTGTGGAGCATTCTGATGTCACATAAGCTGACTTGTCATCAGGCGCTTTTGGAACTTTTGTCAATAAGAGCCGAGTTCCTACAGGAATTCATCCATTTGAAGAGTTAGACGTCGGATAGATTACTTCAAAAAATTCAAGAAATTGAACTGAGCTTCAGTTTTTCGAGTAAGTATTTATTTAGAAATTAGTGAAGCAAAGAAAAAATGACATTTTGTGCCAGTTTTTTGAAGGAAGTGTGCAGCAATGTTGAAAAAAGTTGAGCAAGACAAGTTGTTAGTAATCAGTTTTTTTAGCTCAACATCAAAACAATTTGAGTAACTTTTTGATGTAAACATTAAATGTCTCATTTGTGTTTTTAGTACCTTTTTTTTATTTACGCGAACTTCACTGAGTATTGAAACAGCAGAAAAATATTAAGGAGTTCTACATGCAAAATAATGTTTTTCTTTAATTTTTATGGATGGTTGGTGATTTTCACACATAAAATGATTAATTTGATTTGATAGGTAACTAAATGATGTTCTGATCAACATTAAATGAAGTTTTTGATATATTACATCTTTAAATTTACAGTGTTTACGAGGAAAATGACTTTCACTGTAGAGTTGTGTTGGTACATTGGACATGCTTTGTACCAAAATGTACCACTTTTGCATGTCTTTGGTTTTTTACAGTCATGCTAAGAAGAAGTGAACGTTTGAGAAACAACGGATACTATGATATGGATGGACAACCTGTTATTTCATACAGGGAGACGCCAATCAGGTAGATCAAATCAGCAATTTTCATTAAGTCATATGTTTTATGCAGTCATCTGCGGATCAGTGTACATTTTAACTCACTTGTATATTTTTCATCTAGGGCCATAAGGAGGCGCTTAACAGGTCGTCCTGAAAACCACCCTGCAGTCACATTTAGACAGAGGTCACATTATTCTGGTGACAATGTGATTGACAGAGAAAGACAGATGATGATGACTCTGTTGCAGGGTGGTTTTGATATATCAGTCTTTGTCTTTCTCATTTTCGTCACTTTTGGTAAATACTCTCCTACAAACAGTCAATTTGGAAGTGTCACAGAAAGTCTGTATTTTTAAATTTTTTCTCACTGTTGTCTTCTGCTCATGTTCATCAGGATGTATTTGCTGTATTATTTCCTTCCACTCACGATCTTCAGAGTTGTCTCTCACAACTCTAACAGACATGGTAGGCTTTCTCTTCCTAATCTTAACACTGATTTAATTATCATGATCAAACATGAGAACAAGCTGTTAATTTTTATGTTGTGCACAGGTTACGATCTTTGGACACAAAGATCAAAGACATCTCTCCAACCTGGAGCTCTTGGAGCAGAAGGTTGACTACCTTCTGCCACAAGCAGACCTGTGGCCCAACTTTGCTCTGGAGTCTCAAGGCGAGCCATTACAAATAAGATCATCAACTAGATTTCAAATTTTCAGTATTAAAATTTTCTAACTCACATTATTTCTGTTTTTGTGTTTTGTGTACAGGAGCAAATATTTTACACAAGATGACCTCAGAGGCTTATGACATCAATAAAGAAGTTGGAAGGTTTGGGAAATTGTTCAAGAGACCTCCTATTGGCCCAGGCATTGTTATTAAGGTTTGAATGATGATCAGATCATTAAAAAAATAAAAGTGGTGTTTCTTGGTGATATATTATTAGGCTTTATGATTTACTTTTCTCTTAGTCTTGGTACCCCACTTAAATTTTGTTCTCTGTTTTCAGGGAAAAAATCGTCTGCAACCTGGAAAATGCTGGGCCTTTCCAGGTTTCCAGGGACGTTTGGGCGTCTCACTTTCACACCCAGCCACCATCAGACATGTGTCCCTGGGTCACATTGCTAAGACTGTGTCCCCAACGTCCTCTGTCTCTAGTGCTCCCAAAGAATTTTCTGTATATGTAAGTCAAATAAAATGAGTGTCAAAAGTGTAATATAGATATAGCCATGTATAGTATATATTAAGTATACATTCAAAATGTGATAGCATTGATTCCATATGACATTGCTTGATCTCATTCTAAACCATGCAAACTTTCTGTCTGCACTAATGAATTTTCTGTTTATCTCAGGATGTGATATGTTTTCTGATACACCGACTAACTTTCACATATGTTGAAAGAACAAGATAATGAACTGGATTTTTATCTAATTTTGTCTCAGGGAGCAAAGAATTTAGAAGATGAGGAAACTCATTTGGGAACTTTCCAATACGATGAAGATGGAGACCAAATACAGACCTTCAAACTTCCTGTAAATATGTCAAATTAATGTTTTATTAACCAAATACAGTTCTCTCAGAAGACCAGACTTACCTACCCTGTTATAAATATAGATATATTGAAATGATGATCATATATTCTAACATACAATCATAAGGTTCTTCTCTGGGTATTACTAGCATTCAATTTAAAAACATACTTTGAATAAAGTACCGTATTATTGTTTCATTCAAAAGGATTCAATGAAAAACTCTACTTAAACCATAAAAATGTATGTTAATCTTGCACTTTCAGAGTAGTGGTAACTGATAAAAAGCATTGAAAAATTAATCAATTAGTTAAGTTGTCTAGAAATAGTGCCTAAATGTAATGCAGCCACATTAAGCTTTGTTATTGAACCATAACTATTCCAAAACACAGAGATACAAAGTGTTTAACTTGAACAAATGGAAAAAACTGTAGATTTATTTGGCCATCTATTAAGGAGGAAAATATTGTTGTCTTGGCATAAATCTCGTTGAAACTTTTATTACATCACGGTAACAAAATACAAAAAGTCAACCTCTTATTATTAAGATGTGGGAGATTCTTCAATCAACACGGAGACTCGGATTTCTTTTACTGAACATTTCTGTTCAGTTTTTATTGAGGAGAAAACAGTGACAGCTGATCACAGCTGTTTGTTACCTAGCAACCAAAATCAACAGAAGCAAGACAGTGACGAAATACAGAACCACATCCGGTTTAGTATTCTTCAAAATAAAAGACTTCCTCTATTCAAATAAATCATGTCTCGCACTTAAATATATTTCACTTCAGCTTTTGTAATTATTTACAATCATGTTAATTTAAATAAATAATAATCATCATGTAAATTATGCTCAACATACAATTGTAAGGAAGTCACTTAAAATGCAAATTGTACTTAACAAATAAATAAAAGTGTAAAAAAGTCACAACACTTTTCACAAAACAATAATTTTTTGTCTCTGTATAACAAACAACAAAATCCCAGTGTTACTACAGAACATTTTGTTTTCTGGTTAGCAAGATATCAGTATAATTACCTCGCTATCTTGAGATAAACTATGCAAAATGTATTTACAGCAAGGAAAGTTGAACTAGGCTTCCATCAGACAGACCTCCTTTGTTTCTATCATCTATTTGCAACTATGGATTATCAATCTAACCTCCCTAATTTATATCTCTCTTGACTTACAGGCCGATAAAGTTGGTTCCTTCCGTCATGTGACTCTAAAGGTGAACAGCAACTGGGGTCATCCGGACTACACCTGCCTCTATAACTTTAGAGTGCATGGAGAACTTGCAAAATGACAAGGAGAACAAAGAGAGATGGATGAGATATGGAGAAAAACTATTTTTTTACCCTTTGATATATCTCTTTTGTATATGTTTACACAATTAATTTAATTCCTCACAAAAAGTCCTCAGTCAACCATAAGTAGCACAATGGCACAGTTAGTAGCACTGTTACCTTTCAGAAAGAGGTTCAGGCGTAATAAAAGTGGGATTTGTGGGTTTTCTCCGGGTGCTCCGGCTTCCTCCCACAGACATTTTAAAATTGGCACGTGTGGGTTCTCTATGGAAGCTCCAGCTTCCTCCCACAGAAATAATAAAAGTGGGATTTGTGGGTTTTCTCCGGGTGCTCCGGCTTCCTCCCACAGACATTTTAAAATTGGCACGTGTGGGTTCTCTCTGGAAGCTCCGGCTTCCTCCCACAGAAATAATAAAAGTAGGATTTGTGGGTTCTCTCTGGGTGCTCCGGCTTCCTCCCACAGAAATAATAAAAGTAGGATTTGTGGGTTCTCTCTGGGTGCTCCGGCTTCCTCCCACAGAAATAATAAAAGTAGGATTTGTGGGTTCTCTCTGGGTGCTCCGGCTTCCTCCCACAATAAAAACTTGACTGTTCGGTTAATTGGTCTGCCCAAAATCTCCTCAGCTGTGAATATGTGCTGCATGGTTGACAACATAACGACATAAACTTTCTGATAACATTAACATATTCAAACTTAAACTCTTAATCAAATTGAAAGATTGTCTGTCCAGGATATGGGAATACAGCAACATGATTTTGTAGATAATGATGCACTAACACAATTCTTTAAGTTCTTTCACAGATATTGAAGTTTAACTTTTTGTTTCATGTTATTCTTTCGGGACTGATTCCAGTGAGAGGTAGTTTACTGCTACAGGTTCAGACTATTTTCTGTTAATATCTATTGTATAGACTTTCCCAGATCTACCTTTTGTAACATGTGTATTGTAAACTAATATTGTAATTGAATCTGTCTTTCTTTCAGAAGGTTTGTTGACAGTTTTGTGTTTGTGTGTTTTTTATTTTTGCCCTCTTGAAGCCAGCCAGCCTCGGCAGATGGCTGCTCATCCTGAGCCTGGTTCTGCTGGAGGTTTCTTCCTTTTAAAGGGCGTTTTCCTCTCCACTGTTGCCTTGTGCTTGCTCAGGATGGGGGATCCCTTGGATTAAACATCCATCGCGATCTGCTGGTGACCCCTCCGCAGAATCGCCACCTTAACGTGGTGGAGGGGTTTGAGTATCCCCATGACCCAGATGGAGATTTTGTCTTGGGGTTCAGCCAATAGTGAGGCTTCCCAGGGCAGGCTGCCATTGGGAGGGATCAGACTAAGAGCGATTCAAGGTTTTCAATGAAGGGCTACCAAAGGAATCAGGTATTTCTAGGACACAGACAGTTATCCCAAGTACGGTTTTGACGGAAGTTTCTCTCCTATAAAAAGTCAGTAATCTTCTTCACTGATAAAAATGACAATGAATTCACTGTACTCCAATGCCCTCCTGTGACTGCTAACTGTGCTTCCATTAAGGTACCAGAATGTGAGGGTCCTAAAGTCACATGGGGACTTTGGTCTATTTGGCCCAAGGGCTTCTGTTCCACATGGCCAACGAGTGAGCAGTGTGAGACAAGTGGAGATTTGAGACAGACGCACAGGCATGGAGAGGAGCCACTCACCCACACTTGAAGGAGGTCCACACCTTAGAGCAGTTGCCTACACCTGAAGGGGCCAATGGGTCCATGTTTGAAGGAGAACTGCACATGACAGAGGGCCAGAAGGAGGCGTGCACATGTCAGTTCAGTGGTTCCCAGGTATATGCCAACATGCCTGGGCTTCTGTCTACATGTCTGGGATGGTGCCCACATACTCTTGACTCGTGTTTTAAAAATAAAGGCCTCTAAAGTGCTTCAAATGGTTACTGGTGTTGTATCCACTCATTCTTCTTTGATGGCCTTTGTGCCCGTAACACTCCAAGTCAGTAAATCCCAATCCTTTAAAGAACATTTGGGATGTTGTGAAGTGGAATATTTTTGTATCATCAACATGGAGCCAACAAATATGCAGCAATTCATCATCTGCCAAAGATACAAACTATACTATTTTACAGACCTTCCAACCTACACACAACAGAATGTGAGAAACTGCAACATTGCATGGCATGTGCAGGGTTTGTCTTCAGAAAACGTTCTAAGACTAGGGGTTGGGGCACCATAGCTGTTGACAGGAAAACATAAGATATTACTGTGTAATTGAGTTACTTGAAGACAATACTTAAACCCAAAACTATAGAATCAAAAAAAAAAAAAAAAAAAAAAAAATACAATTAAAAAAAAAATGTCAGTGATTTGCAATTCTGTTAAATCCAAATTAAGTCATCATGTCGTCGATCCAACAGCACAATATAATGCTGATCACATTTAGAACTGGCCTGAAGATACAAAGCTGGCATGTTTACTTAGTAAGAGTTCAAAGAACAATATTTATAATTAGACTGTTTTGTTACCTCAACCACAATCTGGTGCTGTCAGTTAAATCTTTGAGTTTTAGCTCTGTTTGTTCACAAACACATCTTAGTAAACTACGATTTTAAGTGACTCTTCGGCCAATTAAACTGGGGATGGAGAGGGCAGTTTGGAGGGAGTGTCACATGACACAATTTTCCATTTCCTGCCATCATTTCCTCTTATGACAATCTTAGAATGTTCTGACCTACTCTGTGTTGTGTTGGGACAACTCCGACATAAAATCAGGGATAGTCAACATTGTCTTGGCCCTTTTATCGTAGCCAGTCACTGGAATGAGAACGCAGCCTGTTGACTGTTACAGGTAGCCAATCAGAAAGTGTGGTGTCGTAAGCACAGAGTAAATGTTTTACTCATTTCAGCAGTCATCCACTAAGATGTTTCAGCATTTTATTAAAAACGGAGCAAATGTCTGTAAAATATTTCACATTTCAATCACATTGACTCATTTATTTCAAAATAGCAACATTTAGTATCAAAAGAGCAATGAATGCAAAATGTCATCTTTTTTTGTTTTTATTCATAAGCTTTTTTTGTTTTTTTTTACTAAGCAACAAAAACAGTAAAGAAATATTAAGGATATCGTTAATTACCAAATTTTGTTGGTTTTTGTTACCCATGTTTTTAGGTTTATTATGAATGAGCTGAAGTGAAGCAGAATAAAGTTGTCAAATGAATTATGAATGGAGTTTATTTGAGGTCATCACCTTGGAGGCCTAGCCCTGCAATATAGATGTTTGTTTTTCTTCTTCTCCCTGGTTGACCCAAGTGATATAAGAATTTTCTATGTTCTTTGATAAATTGTATGTTTCATGCTCATTTTATACATTTTCAACACATTTTAAGCACAACCGGAAGTTGAGTGATGTATGTTGATTGAATCATGGACAACAGAAGACTGAGTATTGTATGCTAATTGATATAGGAGATTAAGTACTGTATGCTAATTGATCATGCTCTGAGCTCATGGTCAAGTCGTGGGCAGGGAAGTAGCATTCTGATTGGCTAACCCGTCAGGAAGAGGGGAAATGGCCATTCCCTTCTTTCATTCGAGTTTGTTTTGGTAATGAGTATAAAAGGCAGAAAAGTCCCATTGTTCAGTAGAGTCAGAGTAGAGTACGGACGCCCAATTTTTACCGCTGCACCATTGAGAGCATCCTCACCAACTGCATCACAGTTTGGTATGGGAACTGCTCTGTCTCCGACCGGAAGGCGCTGCAGAGGGTGGTGAAAACTGCGCAGTGTAACTTTCTCTAGAGTGATAAAAAAAAAGACAAATCTTCAAGACGTGACTGCCTGCGAGTGGTCCCTCAGCTGAAAAACAAAAGATATAGTTAACGTCATGACTGTTTGGTCAGCCAGCAACACCAACTGACGCAGCTGTCACACATAGGGCCATATTTTTCCAGCCCAACCACGACAAAACGTCATAATTTATATTTATGAATGTCAGTTGTTATTATAGTATTTTGTTAAGTACTGAACCAGAAAAATATGACCCCAAGTAAAAAAAATAATGAAGAGCTGCGCCTCCACCAGCACTCCGCAGAATTCTGGTGGGGGAAACCGCGAGAGCGCCTGAAGGACCCGTCGCATGCAGTGCGTGATCATACCACTAGGTGGCTCCAAAACATGGCGTTACTCAAAAATCTCATCAAAAACAAACACAACCTTCATTATTTTGGGCAAAATTCACAGACATATTATACACACTTTGCTCTCTGTTACACCAGCACATCGCCGGGGCATCGCTCCCTGCCATCAATGACATCTACAGGAAGCGGTGTCTGAAAAGGGCCTGGAAAATCAGCGCAACAGCGCCAGCGGTGCAAGTGCTGGCCTGCTGCTGTTGTTTGTGTCGCTGATGTTTCTGGTCTTGTTATCTTAGAAGATCCACAAACATACATCAACACAAAGCTGTCTATTGCAAGTTATTTTCAATATTTCTGTTGTGGAATAAATCTCAATCTGTGTTTGTCTTTTTCATAAGTTTAAAAGTGGATTGTCATTATCTAAAATAATACAACTTTAAGAGTAAAAGCAGAAATTAAATGAACAAACATTCCTCTTTCAGTTGCCTAATAAAAGGATTTATTTTCATCTGTAATATTCAAGAATTTTTTGAGCTATTAAAATGAGAAAAAACATACAATGTGATATTATTCATGTTATTTAAAAGGGAACACACACACACAAACACATATATATCATAATCCATCTTGTGTGACACTCCTTTATCCACATGAAGAGAATACTCTGCCATGTATTCTCTTCATGGCAGAGAATAGAGAAATGAGGCATTAATGATTCATTACTGTTTATTTCTTCCTGAAATGAAAAGTAAAAGTCTACAATTGAAATGAAAAGCAGAGGAAGTGAGAATAACATGATTATGAATGTGAACTATAAACTGAAACTTGGCAGCAGAAGAAGAGCAAGCGCATCCAAATCGATCCTCAGACTGTTTACTCAAATGTTGCCGTACAGGTTAACATCCTGTAAAGAAAAAATATTTAATTGGTTCGTTATTGCTTAATAAACTTTATGTGCTTGTATTGTACTCTATGAACCGTACAGGAAATATGTTCTTGTAAAACCAAAGGCTTTTGACGAATATTATCAAAAATGTTGAAGTTTGGTCTAATAAGAGATCATTGTTTCATAAACAATAAAAGCTCAGAGATTAAGAGTTTCGACTGGAAAATAGTTATTTTTAATGTGTATTAAGAAAAATTGACTGAAACATCCTCTCAACAGCTGTAAATGGTAAAATTCAATGAACAATGCAACTGACCTCTGGTGTGGGCAGCGCAGGTCGTCTTTGGTTACTGGATGAGCGAAACAAGATAATTAATAAAGAACCACAATAATCGCAGCAGTCTTTTGAAGCCTGAAATATAGAGTTGTTCTCCTCACTTCTTTGGTGATGGATAATACTGCTTGTTGACTTTTTTCTCACCGACGAACACTTCTGCATTATTTCTAGGAGCAAAAACATATTTCACAATATCACATTTTCAGCATTTCTGCTCATTATAAAATATTTTTGAAACCACGGCTGAAAACTTACAAATAACTGACTCTGAGGTCAGTCGAGTTGTTTGGGCGTCTGCAACAATTATACACATTGTTCTTAGTCTACTTTTAATTTTTTAATCACTTAATGTCTGATATTCTTGTTTGTAATAAACATGAAATTATTACCTTGAAAATCTATTCCAGAAAGAGTTTCTGTAAAAGAAACATTCAAGTAGTAGCAACTTTAACATTGACAATGAGGAGATTTAACAACAGAAAATGTTCCTACCTGGTGATCTGCCAGCCGACTTGACCGTCCTCTGATTGTCTGAAAATAATAGTGTTGCAAACATCAGAACTGAGGATTAAAAGGGCAGAATTTGCTTTTTGTTGATCTTACCGAGAAAACCTTCTCCAAACTGAATTCCTGCACAGAAACATTTGTTAATTTTTAGTATGTGATCAACTGCAATTTCAAAAAAAGCTTTTTGGTTGTGCACCTTTTTTCTGGCCTTGGAGGTTTCTCTCTATCTCCCTCAAAGTAAGTCCTATAGGTATTAAAATGGTTTTGGATTTACTATTTGCTTGTGCAAAAACAAAAAGAAACTGAGCAAAACGTTTAATTCAATTCACCTGGTTAATCTACCCCAAAGAGATCTTTGGTGTATGGGGGATGTTTACATCCCTGTGAAAGAACAAGGATGTAAACATCCATTTATCAGTGACACAGTGTTACATTTGAGAGTGAATGTGAGTGTAAAGTAGAGCTGTATAAATTTCTAATTCCAAGCATGTAAGATCATTAATATCTATAATATTTGAATCAAGATGTTTAGATTGAGAGGCAAGACATCTCTCTTAATTTTGTCCTTGAACAGCAAACAACCCTTACCTTACCTTACCTTACCTTACCTTACCTTACCTTACCTTACCTTACCTTACTTACCTTACCTTACCTTACCTTACCTTACTTTACCTTACCTTACCTTACATTACCCCTAACAACTCATATCAAAACAGAGAGCAAAAGTGCTAAATTAGCACAGCACTTAAAAGTTCTTGGAGGTAAAATTCTTGCCTTTCTCTGGTCTTGGCGGAGGTGTCAGAGGGCCATAGGTGTGCTTTCTGGTAATGAGAAAATTGTAATTTCTTTAGGTCAACTTCATTTTCTTTAATTGGCCTAATTTTTGAAGGCAAAAAGACATCAGCGCAATACGCAAAAGCATATATTAGTCGATTTTGAGATGTTTACTCACCTTTTCCTGTAGAAGAATATGCCAAGCAGCACAGCAAAGAGGATCAGCACTAAGATGACAACAGGAATCACCACAGGGATAGCTTTCTGTATCTGGTACGCCGTAGTTCCTGGAGATGGAGATATAAAATAATCATAATGAGAAAATCTCTCAGTTCCCTGTTTCCAGTGCTTTGATAAGAAAAATGATTTGTTGAGTCTAACCCTCTACAATTAATTTGAAAGTCCTGGTTTCATTCTTTCCACGCCAGAAGATGGCGGTACAGTTCAGGTTTCTCTGTCCATCTCCTCCAGCAACCACAAACGTGATGGTGGACGTCGTCTTCCAGACACCTCGTGACATCTCAGTGTCTGAAACCTCGTTGTTGACGTAAGGGACACTCCATGAAAACTTTGGAGGATGTGATGAGCATGAGTGACTGACAGAACAGGAGACATTTACAGTTGAACCAGCATTCACTTGAGCTGGAACTAAACTCATCACTGGTTTTCTCTGGAGAAGCTGAGGATTAAAGACAAAGACGTTTGCTATTGCTCAGATTGGAAGAAAATGTATCACAAACAGCATGCGAATGATGTAAAACATTAGTAAGGATTCTTGACCTTTCATGACGATAAAAACGCAGCTGTTGTTAAAACTGTATTTGTTTGTTCCTTTCTCTCCATAGAAACAGAAAGGGCCATTGTCAAAGGGTTTTATGTCGTCAATCTCCAAAGAGCAGTCTCCTTCATCCAGGTTTCCCAGAATTTTGGTCCGATCCTTGAAGTTGTCCAAAACATAACTGCGGGCATTGTGGTACACCAGACCCCCAGTTTTTTTGTACCAGATGCCACGAGTCAGGGGCTGATCCTCGTCATCCTGGAAACTGCAAGGGATGACCACACAGGACCGAATCAAGGCATTGAATCTGCGAGGGACGTCAGCAGCCAGGACGCGGAAAGCTGTTGGGGGGGCGAGAAGACCAGTTAAACTTAGAAAGGTGCTGTCAGAAAATACAGGACATTTAATACAAAAGACATGAAAATTATACAGATACACAAAACTGATAGCCTTAAATCTGAAATAATGCACAAAAAGAGAGAAAAATAGGCAGGAAATCAGTGTCTTATGCAAGTTGTCTGGTGTAAGGAAAAAGAAAGGTGAGCTCACTATCTTTCTCGTTCAGTTCTTCTTCAACCGGTACATATTCTGTAAAAATGAATAAATAAATGAATTTATTTTTGATTAGTAGCTAAGCAATAAACCCAAGTGAAAGCTATAAGTTTAACTGGATTAAAGAAAGCAGTCATTGTTTACTGGCCAACATTTTGAAACTGTAAATCTTCCAAGGCGTCTGGTGTCTCAAGTATTGCTCTGCAGATTTAAACACTGAAAATTTTAACTTCAATTCTGAGTTCTAATTTTAATTTGAACTATAGTGGTAAACAATGTGTGTTAGATGTAAAAACTCACTTTTTATCTGAAGAAGTGAGGAGTTTGATGTTTCTCCAGTCAGAAAATGTGCAATGCAGGTCAAAGGTTTTCCATTGTCTTCAAGGGAACCAATAAACGTAAGATTGGACTCAGTGGTATACGTATTACTGGATATTTTTTTGAGCTTTTGTAAATGCAGCATGTCTGAAAAGTTCCACTCAATTGTTGGTGTATTTGTCTTGCATTTGTAGGACACAGAACAAATTACACTCTTTGCCACTCCTTCTATTAGCTCTCCTGGAGGTTCAACCATTTTGATTGTTTCAAATGGACCTAAGCAAAAAATGAAACTTTACTTGTGAAGAAAACTTAAAAATCTCATCAATTTAAACCACAACATGTATATTTATACTCACATTCAACATGCAGGAGGAGCTCACTTTTGGCACTTTGTCCACCAGGATATCTCACAGTGCACTCCACCTTCTTGTGGTCTTCTTCTACATTCCAAGTTCGTTCTATTGTTCTTTCCCAAATGCCGTCTGACAACAAGGAGTCAATGGTGCGGTCTGTTCCAGGAATGCCATTCAGAGACAGGGCAGGAGGAGCAGAAGAACATGTATATTTCACTTTACAGGTAACCCTGCTTTGAGCTCCCACCTTAGGAACATCAATGATGCTCATTTGGGGTTCTTGTGCCTGGTCTATAAAGATAAAAATAGAAATATGTTAATCTATGATGATTCCAACTAAAATGTAGATATTTAAAATACTGGTGAAAGAGTGAAAGGAAAAGTTTAACATACATTATTTTAACCTAAACAACAGTTTAACTAGACAGACAAGTTTCTTGCTGCAATGGGAATAACTGCACAAGATATGAATATTTGTCAGATTTATTTTGCTTAATCATGAAGTTGTTTTCCCAGACATGATTTTGTGCATTAAGTTGTTATGCTGCTCTTGAGAGTTGGTAAATAAAAGAAATGAGTGTGTCTATTGTGAAGTCAACCAACTGGACCTGAGACGAACAAAGATTATATATATATATATATATATATATATATATATATATATATATATATATATATATATATATATATATATAATCCTTCTTTGTTTTTGTTATAGAATCCTTCTTTGTTCCTCTGCCTCCGCAAGGAAGGAGGCAGAGGACTAGTGAGTGTGAGAACCACTGTCCAGGACGAAACAACTAAGATCCATAAATACATCAGGGACAAAGCCTCAACAGACAATGTGCTCAGTGAATGTCTCAGACAACAGGGAATGGAGGTTGAGGTGCCAGAGATACCATCATGGGAGGACAAGCCCCTACATGGGATGTACCAGAATATGGACTGGAAACCCCGGGATCAAAGTGGGAAACACCCCCAAAGGTGGTGGAGAACGCCAGAGCTAAGATCCTTTGGGACTTCCAGATCCCAGGAACAACATCAGACATTTCAGTCCAGAAATGTGCAGTTCTTGGCACAGCCAAGATACTGCAGGACCCTCAAGCTCCCAGGCCTCTGGTAGAGGACCCGAGCTCAGAGGATAAGAACCACCCGCGGGGGGTGAGAAGGGAATTTTTAAATTTTTTTATATATGTGTGTGTGCATGTGTGTGTTCTTACCTGAAACCATAATTTTGGTGCTTCTATCCAAAAACGAATGTCCCTGTGAGTGGTAGGAGGTAATTGGGTTGATATCAACCCATGGATAGAGTTTATCCTCATTGTGAGACATATCCAGCCGGTCTATTTTAAGACTACAATTGCGGTCTGACACAGAGCCAGTCAAATGTGTTATCCCATTATATCTGCTTAAAATATTTGATTGTCTTTGGTTGAATACGTCTGCGCGTCCATTACTTTGGTACAAGTACCAGACAACTTGGAGGCCACTCGGTTGGGCTTTGCTGTAGGAAAACTTGCAAGGAATGATGATACATGATCCTTTCATTCCCGTTACGCTTCCTGGAGTAGTGAAAGACCAGCCCAGATTGAGCATGTTTCCTGTAAAACACATAAAAACAAAACGATTTTGATTGGCCAGATTAGTTTAAGCCTAATTTTAACTGATTTGCCCTGGACAGACCATAGATTTATACATTTGAATGTTGTGTCTGCAATAGTATTATTTGTTGTCTTGGTGGGAAAAATAGTTACATTAACTCCTAAATCGAGACTTACAGGGTTCAAATGCCTAAACTGCAAAAACACAAAATCCTACCAAATAATTTTGGTCTAGTTTTTACTGATAGCATCTTAATAAACCTGAAATAAGAGAAAAATAACTTACAAGTAACCTTTCAGCAAGATAAAAGAAGTGGCATTAAGTAAATAATTTCTTAAAATTGGGGAAGAAGTACTTGTTCCATTGGCAGATTATTTCACTTATAGCAAACCAGATTTGCCTGGATAGACACATTTTATCAACAGTATCTATAAAGATACTTTTTTCAATGGAACAATTTACATAAGTTAACAGCAGAACATGAGGCAGCCATGTATTTGTCAATTTTATTTACCATAAAACTCTCCATATAAAATAATATTCAGTTGATGCGACATTCATCACTGAAGAAAATCTTTTAGTTCCATTTGTTATAAACTCAAAAGACATTACCAAATGTTCATATATTCTAGTCCTGATAAAAAGGTACAAAATGTTAACTGTGATTGGTACTCACGTTTTACCCGTATGGTGAGGCTCTTCTGCTGAGTCTCTCCTCCAGGAAAGTTTGCAGAACATGTCAGATCATTTCCATTGTCTTTAGCTGATGCTGTAAATGTCAGTGTGGAAACAGTTTTCTGCAAACTCCCCAAAGTTTTAATATCTCTGGTAACTGGCATGTTAGAGTAGGTCCATTCGAGAACTGGTGCATTGCTGGAGCAAGTATAAGAAGCTTCACATGTTACTTGGTTTGGAACTCCTTCAACATATTCAACTGAAGTAGAGCTAATGCTCAGTGATAAAATGGAGCCTAAAAACACAAAGAACGAAAGGATGGTTAAAGCTTTTCCAGAAAGACAACCTAAGTTTAGCACGAGGGCGACGCTGATTTGATCTTGGGAGTTATCACTCACAGTCTGCAGTTAAGGTTTCAGATGTTCTTGCTGTTTTACCACCTGGGTGCTGGACAGTGCACTCAATCACTTGAACGTCTCTCTCTAAGACTAAAGTGCCTGTTAAGATAACTTTAGAAGTGCCATCAGATAGCTGAGTGTTGGAAACTCTTTTGTCTTTCATTGCGATGTTGAGGCTGAGAGTTGGTGGACTGGTGGAGCATGTGTGTTCAGCAGAACATTGCACTGTTACAGATTTTCCAACTTTTCTTTCTCCAAAGATTATAATTTGTGGTGGCTTTGGCTGTGCTACAAAGAAAATGTAAAAAGTTAAAAGATTTTTCAACAACATACTAATGCACTGATTATCAAGGCAAAAAGCTCAAAACAAACAAACATACCAATTACTTCAATTGTTACTGCTGTGTCATAGAATGCATATGTGCTAGACCCAACATGTTCTGGATCCACCCAAGGATAAAGTTTTTGTCTGTCGTCGTTCCAGTTCACACGTTCAATCTTTAGAGAGCATGATTTTTCATATTTGGAAGTGTATACATAGGTTCTTCCTCTATACATGCTAATTACTTCATTAGGGTACCAACTGTCAGAAACCAAAGGATATCCCCTGCTCACATACTGGTACCAAACAACTCTGTCTGCTCTTGTAGGTGGATACGAATTGTAGTCAAAGCTACAAGGGATAACGAGGCAGGAATTCAACAGTGCTTTGATATTTCTTGGCATGTCAACGCGCCAAGCTTGTATTGCCAAGTAAAGACATCCTGCAAGAGAAAAATAGTTGTAAGTCAAAATTACTGAAGTAAAAATTCATCAGTTGCATCAAATTAAGTATGTATGTAATGTTACACAATTCAAAAGAAGAAAACCAAAGTACCCAAAAACCAGAGGTGCAGGAGCAAATGTCTAAACCAAAACATCTTGATATAAAGGTATCTGAAAGAAACAAATGATGTGCATTAGTATTATTTATTAAAACAGCTTAACGCTAAAGATACAATAAAAATCTTTGTGCCATTTTCAAAATCAACCAAATTTTGTTTTACAAAAAACTTTTAATTTACGTTTCATTTCTTTGCAGTTAAAATGTTTCAAGGCTGTAAAAAGACTGGTACCCATCTCACACAAAGTTTTCTACTGTTTCTTTCTGTTGCCCTTTTTTTATTTCCTCCATCTTAAAAGCAAATGAGAAAGAGGGCTTTGTAGTGCGTGTCGTTTTTTGCATGCGTGAGCTCAAGTTACCAGAGCAGAAAGAAAATGGCTACTTTACAGCTACTTTGTCATCTTTGCATTTTTTACCCTGAACGAGGATCATCTTCATGTTTTAGACTGTCGGTTTCAAAATTCACATGAACAAAGAATAAGTTCACACAGCACAAAAAATGATTGATTCTCAGAATTCATCATATGAAATTATGAATTAATTACAATACCTCAAAAATGGAGAAACTCACTTTCTTGTTACATTTGTTTTCAATTGTAAAAAATTAAAGAGAGTGATATTAAGTAATCGACATCACTTCTGTCTTCTCTACTTATTTAACACGCCTCTCATTTCTACTGTCTTGATCAAAACCTTAAGATCAGGTAAAGAATCTCAAGTATTTGCAATTGTGCTGGTGGGTCATTAATAAGTACTAAAAGTACTTATTAATGAGTACTTTCAGTACTCATTAATAAGTACTAAAAGTAAAGAAAAAACCAAACAAACAAACTGTTTGTTATTACGCAATAGCCAGCCCCACCCTAATCCTCACAACTCCTCTGGGCTGACCACTGACCAGCTCTCCGTCTAACGGGTCCGGAAAGTTCCCGAAACTTTCCGGACCCTTCTGCAGAAGGTCTGAGAGGAACAATCTGTCTAAGCTGGTGTCGAGAGAGACTCGTCTAGCTCTAAATACCTATTATCCAGAAGTTATGACCCTTTTCAGTTAAGAAGCAATCAGTTGAATGGCCCTCGCAACTGCATAACTCCAATAACCACTCCTGTTAACAGTAGCCCTCTCTCTAAGAGTAACGAGCACTTGTTATCTCTCCTAACAACTTTCCCTAACTGTGCCATCAACTTACTAAAAAGGCTTTTTGGGGTGCAGGCAACTCATACCCAGATGACAGGGGATCTCAGCAACAGAAGTGTTAATGTCCTTGGGCAGAATCTTGTCTTGGTGTGGCGAATTCTCCTCCGAACAGGAACGAAGCAAAGTTGGTAGTTATCTTTGTGATCTTTGTCCAGTCCCCAAGTCCGCTGCAGCAATTCTTGAGATCTTTTTGGGTTGAGTGTGGAGCCTCAGTCGAATTAGGAGCAAGAGTTGTTGCCTGCAGAGAATTGCTTCCCCTGTCGCGGGAGCGCGCATCACTCTAAACTCTCGCATATTGATGAGAAAACTGGCTGAAATCCGACCGAAGAGCAAACTTTTGAAGATATTCGTAACATCATCACGTTTATTAATCATGTAAGCCCTATTTCGCAAATTAATTGAAATAAATACTGATTTTTTTCACGTTTATTGAGCCATATTTATCGAACGTTTTTCAGACAGGGAATGCAAATATTAGCAGGCTCAGAAATGAAAATGCATCTCCCCTAGATTAATACACTAGACAGCTAAGCGTGATATAAAATGTTCTACATAATGGGCCTCGCTTTTATAAAGCTTTAAGCTATTATGGTGTTAAAAGAAAAATCTGGTAATTTCAAACCAGCTGCGGAGAACATGTTCATCAGACACTGAAAAACGTTCCACAAATATGGCTCAATAAAAGAGAAAAAATCAGTATTTATTTCAGTTAATTTGCGAAATAAAACCCACAATTTTAGGGCTTATATGATCTCACCTGCCAGACATCCTGGACAGTCTGTTGAACATGCTAAATGTCACAGATAATTTGATTAATATTTATTTTCACTGTAATGACATTACATGTTTTTATTTTGTGGTGCAATGCTTTAAATCACTTTACCTTCCTTCACGACTTTGAAGCTCTGCAATGCGATTCCTTAAGAAAACAAGAGGAGCTTAAACAAGAGCAGCATTGAGAAAATAACAATTTGCTGTTTTTACTCAGCGGATCCACTTAAATAGTGAATATCTGTAAACCTACTTGTACTTTTTCATCATAGCAATGCAGATGATTCCAAAGATCACAGCCGTGCCAATGGCCACCGCGACTGGAATGATGAGGTGATAAGTGTTTGCAGTACCTGCAAATAGAAATTAAATCAGATGCATTTTATGTGATGTTGAAAAATGCAAATGAACTACATCCTGTATTTATTCTGAACTATTCAAAGCTAGTTAGATCTCACGTTTTACGTTGAGTTGAATAGATCTGTCTGATTTTTGACCTCCATTAAATGTTACACTGCAGGTGATTTCAGTGTGGTCGTCATTCTCCTCAGGAGTAAACACCATGATGGACTGTGTCTCCCAGATCCCAGAGATACTGGGTTTTTGAATTAGTATAACATCATCTTCACTTCCTCGACTCCATGTGAACACAGGAACGTGTGAGGGGCAGGTATCGGACCGAACAGGTGACGGCGTAAGGTTTTCCTTGAACAGCTGTGTTTGCCTGAAAAAGTTCAGGTTTGGGAGGAACTTCTATAAAAAGAAAAAAGAGACATTAACTAAGGGTTAATTTTAGTGATTGTAATATAAATACTGAACAAAGTTAAACATGCGAATAACAACAATGCACAGGACTTGAATAAATGACAACATACGGCGCATTATGACTTCAGCACATTCCTCAACAAAGGAGAACTTTTCTTTAGTGGGTTGGTTGGTGTCTTTTTGCACAAGTTCAATGCGGAAGCAGAAAGGGCCGTTATCATGATCTTTAACTTCATCTATTTCTAAGGTGCAGTTCTTCTGACCCAGGAATCCCAACAACTTGGTTCGGCCCTTAAAGCTGTCCATGACCTTTGTGCTGTCTTCGTAGTAGAAAATCTCGTTGTGTTTGTCCTTACGATGCCAGATGCCCCTGAGTCTGGAGGCAGGCAGGTAAGACCCAGGATAACTGAATGTACAGGGCAGCACGACACAGGAGCCAATTAGAGCATCAATGGACTTTACAACATCGGCTGTCCTCTCTTCTCCAAGCCCAGAGCTGCAAATGACTGATTAATTAGAACCAAAACAAAAAGTTAGAAATTATCATTGGAGGAAAAGAAAATGGATGAAGTAATTTACAAATCACTTACCAGCCAAAACCAAACACATCATGAGCTTTCTCTTGTGATCCATTGTGCCGCAAAACACTGTTGGCTTGATTGTTCAAATCTGTAGGAGTTTTTACAGGAGGAAAAAACAAACAGAAACAAAATATTCTATCAGTATTAATCCCAAGAATTAAAAGTTTACTGAGGAGATTTATTTACATTTTTCCTAAAATACAAAGGTATGAAATCAAAGGTGTGAAATGGCTCAACACTCAAAGTCCACCAGATATGAAAGTTAATCAGAAATGAGCACTGCATCTGCACCAGCAGATTGATTATAGTGTATTAAATAACTACACAGGAGAGTTGATATTTAATTTCCTCCAGACCAAACCGTCTTATGCAATGGCACTGTTAAAAATCAAATCTAAAAGAATAACACAAATAAAAAATGGAATCTGAGACTAAACATAAATTAGGAAAACCAAACTCTGGGATTAATTTAATGTGGTGATTTTACAATCATAAGTGTGGAAACACGTAAGCAAGAGGGAAAATGTTTGAAACTGAATGAGGGAAGTGAGGTTAGGCCGGGGCTTGGGTAAACCATCATAATGACGCAAAAAATAAAGCAAATTTAGAACAAAAGAAGACTATGCAGAATGCTAAATCTGAAAATTTGTGTAGAGTTCAGAAAAACAAAATGAAAAACAAATAGAATTAAGGTTAAATCTTCATTTAAAACTGAACAATGAGGTTGTCAAGCTTTTTTTTAAACATGGCTTATACGTTCAATCATTCATAGATATTAAATATGTAATTACACATGTTGCTTTTGTTGCATCTACTTTTAAGATGCAACAAAATTTGCATTTCCTTGCCCATACTTTCATTTTACAGTAATATCAAATAGTTCCACAATTTTATAATTATTTAACCTTTTTAATGGGGATATATTTTAAATTGAATCAAGTATTTAGAAAAAAATCTTTACAAAAAAATATCCTAATGTAAATTAAAAAAAAGTATTAAATCTAATCACTACTTTCAATTTATTTATCACTGCTAATCTGATTTTTTTTTTTCTAAGTCCTTATATTATTAGGAAAATATGCATAAGCTAAGTTTGGTGCAACTATTACAATTAACAAAATCTTACCTTTTGGCGTCTCTGTCTTGGCTGAGCGGTTTTCTGAAAGCACTTCTGAATAATGATTCTTTGGTTTGGTTTCTGCAGTTTGGCAGCCGTCACAGTCACTTTCACAGTGTGTGAGAATGTCAGAGTGTGTGTAGAGGCAGTGAAGCCAGAGTTAATGATGCAGCGGACAGGGAGTGGTCTCAGCTGCACTACTTATCTGAATGCAAATCTCTGTTATATTTTAAAACATAGAATCTCTGACACTAACCAGAACAGAAAAATAAAATGTGTGTTTTTATTTTTCCCATGTTTGAAGTTACAATTGGTTTTACCCACCAGGAAATCTGGCAGTATAGAGATCACTGCAGTTTGCTCCATCACAATGGCTGGTCTAAACAGAGCTACAGAAAAGACAAAAATGTTTCTTCCAACATTTAATCAACAGATTAAGCCAAAAAGAAAAGTGATCTGGCAAAAAAAAAATAAAATACAAATGCCTTGCCGTAACGGAAATGCATTCGGCTCCACAAAATAAATATATTTCTGAAAGACAATGAGATTTAAAGAAAATTAGCTAAAATGTCTGTGATTGTACAACTGTGTGAAAATTAAGGAAGTTGGTTTGTGTAAAAATCCACCATTGACTGAGTCATTACATTTGTTCTTGGTCGCTTTCAGCAGTACATTATAGGGCATGTCTTTGTTTTCTTCTCTCTATTTTGTTTAATGAATATATTTTTTACAGTGTATTCTTAAGAAGTCCGGCAAGGCCAGCAGAAAAATCAGCACCGGTGTGAAATGCTTTTGTTTTCTATACTGAAGAACACTGATAAAAATTGCTTTGGGAGACTTGAATTAAACTCTAGAGACATCTGCTGCTCAGACAGCTTCATGTTTTGAAAGAGCTACATTTGATACAGGAAATGGAGAATGGCAGCGATTCAGGCAACACTTGCTGGTAATAATCGGACGTTAGCAGAATATCCCTTGAGAGTTGGTTTCCACATCTATAACAAGATGAATTTAGTGTCAAAAGATCAAAATCATGCATTTCTTCAGAATAAAGCTACGGTTTATAAATACTAAAAAATGAACAACTTTCTTCGATATCATCCTTATGTAGAACAACATCAAAGACAATGATTCATCACTGGTCTGTCTGGTTTTATAAGAATAATGAATGTTTAAAAGAAAAGACTTGTTTCCAAGTTGCACATAGAATCATCAGCTTAATGCAGTATGTCTTCTTTAGATAGTAAGCATACATTTTTCCATCTTGCACAATAAATTTCAGAGTTTTAACATGTGATTCCACATGCTACCTTGATATCACATTTTATTCCTGACATTTGGAAAATATATGCTGAACCATGTCACGTCATCTAAAGTTGTTCACACACTTTAATACTCCAGAGGGTTACTTCATAATTACTTCATAATTACTTAGCAAAATTTTCTTGTATGATTAGAAGTGATCTGACCTAAACTATCATATCCATTAGGGATGATAAATCAACTGAAATGTAATGGCTTCTATCAAAATGTTTGATCGACTACGAATGAAGTTTATTTACAATATGGTAAACAGAAAGAGCTGAGGAAGAGAGCCGTTAATCAACACTGATTGACTTTTGCAGTTACAGCTGTTATCTGTAATCCCATCTCTTAGTGATGTGATTAATTAGACAATTAAAGTCCGATGAGGTCATGACTTCAGGACTTTAAAATGGAGGAGTTTGTCTTTTGCATTGCAGCCAGACTTCAGCAGCCAGATCAGCAGAAAGAAAACAACCTGTTGTAATTTTCTCCGTAAAGGTAAGAAAATGTACGATCATGTTTCTCTGACATGTGTAAATTAATTTTTACAATAATTCCCACACTTTGTGTTTTGCTGGATAGATTTGCTCCTTGGATAGTGAAGCTCTCAGCTTTTCTAATGGGTAACTCGACATCCACTGGCTTCGCTGCTACGTCTCCCAAGAGACTGTCCTGGGGACGCCGAAAGGAGGACACTATCAAGCTGCAAGACTTCTTCACCAGAATGAGGAGGGTCTTTGGAGCGCGAGAAGGAAGCAAAGCTTAGCTCCCAAAAATATTCCCATCCCTCACAATAGCCTTTGTGTTGATCTGGATTTTCAAGACAGAGGGAATTTCCACCCAAAACATGGAGAAAACATTAACCCTGCCTTTGTGGAAGAAAGCAGCCAATGAGTTTATAACACAGTTTGGTGAGAAATGATTTTTCAGCTGTGGTGTTTAAGAGAGGACCAACATTTTTCTCTGTGGCTCTAAACTAGAAAAAAGGAAGTGAGACAACAAAGTAAAAATAAACGTTCTGACAGTTCACTTCATGTGTGACTTATGCTCCAAGCTGTTGTTGGAGATTAAAACTTAGTGAATATGCTTTAGAAGATGATCTTGATTATTGACATGATGATAAAACCAGAACAAATTTCTTGTGTGTTTTTTTTTTTGCACCTTTGTGAAAGCTATTCCAATTGCTATGTCACAGATAGTTATGCATGACTTGGTGTAAAATACAAGAAGCAGGCCTGACTGATTTCCTTTTCAATAATATTTCACCGAATGAGACACATAAGTTGAAATGTAATAACTGGGACAAAAAATTATCTGAAGACAGATTTAGTACAGGTCAAGTTTATTCACTGATGACTGGGAATCTTGACTTACCAGATCTGGACTGTGTCTGCCCAGTAACAGGCACAGAACTCCACTTTAACTAATAAGCTGGAGGTGGAGAACCAGTTTGGGCTGAAGCCTGTGGTTTTTATTCAAACTTATTCACTCAGTAAAGATCTGAGAAATAAGATGAATAAATATTGATATGGGGGAAAAAAAATAGATTTTGTTTATGTTTGAGAATAATTTTGAGAACTAATAGCTGCCCAATAGTTGTGCTGAAACAGACGTATTTTTATTTACTTACACATATATATGTATGTATGTTTGTAATGACTGTGAACACTGAAGTTGTTTTGTAGTATATTTAACACTCAAGAGCACAGTGTATCCATTTGTCTGCATACAGTGCAGCATCACAGTGAGTTAGTTTCCTGTCTTCACATCTCATTAGTTTCTTCCTGTTCTCTGAAAAACCTTCAAAGGTATTCTTTTTATTTGGTTATATTAATTCAATATAAGCTGTCATATAGTTCCTCTTGCAGTCTACCGGAAGGGTTATTTTAGAAAAACCTTTCAGTTCCGTTAGAGTACTTTTGTGTTAAGTTGATATTCACTTGATTTGTTTATGATATTTGTCTAATTACAACAGATTTTAAGAGTTGCTGTATTCTAGAGGCTTTTACTTGATAATAAAGTAGGTAATCCAGGACAATACAACAAGGAACAAAGAGTAGAAGAACTGTCATTCATAAATGCATTTGCATCAACCTATTATTGGTTCCAGGAGAAGGAACAGTTCCAGGAAAGGAAGCTCTGTGATGTTATGGATTTAAAGTTCATTTTAAATAATAGTTTTTAATTATTGCATCTTTTGATTGATTCTATTTATATTTCTTTATTTTCAAGGTTTTACTTTTAGTAGCTTGTTCACTTAATGAGATGATTAAAGAATTTTAATTGGAAGACTGATATTTTTGTTGTTGTTATTAAACTCTTGCATATGGATAAAATATTTGTTAAATCAGTTGCTTCCTGGTTTCCAACCCCAAAATCCTGGTTGGAAACCAGGAATTTGGGGTTGGAAACCAAATACCAGGAATTTGAATTAACTCCCAATCAGGTCTGCAGGAATGGAGACTCATCTAAAACATGCATTGCAGTGATGCTGGATATCAGAGTTGGGAATCACTGTTACATACATGTGTAGTTTTGCTGTTCTGAAACATGAATTTATTTATTTTATTTTAACACCAAGCCATTTTCATTGCCTCTTTCCATAATGGGGACTATGTGGCTATTGTTTATTAATAATCAGGTTGTACCCTGACTATGTAATTTTAATATAAATTACTAACTTTGTTAATAATTGCCATTAGCAAAAATTTTTCATAGCCAAATCAGACCAATTGTTGGACAACAATTGCAAAATACAAGAAGAAATGTCAGAGATCCTCCAAGTAGGATGTAATTGTTCACAGAATACATGTTTTGAATCACATCAGTACAAGAAAGCACCAAGAACGGGAAGACATGTTAAATGTGTTCTTCAGTGACTAAAACCACACTGAAGACACAAAAGCAGAAGAGGTGGTAAAACAGTAAGACAATAAGTAAGTTTGAGGAATTGTGGAAAGAGTTTTGCACACAGATGTGTTTGATAAAACACAACTATGATATTGAAGTTTATTGATCTATAGCAATACAATGCAAGAGTATAAAATTATTTATTTGGTGCTCTGCCTTTTAAACTTACTAGCTTCACAGTATTCAGGGAAGCTAAATAAGTTGTCAACAATGTCACCCTGGAAATACGGAAAAGCACTGCTCAGGTCCTGCTTTAACCTCATCCGTCTAAAGTCCTCTAGAGTCAAAAGTCATTTTTTACGTAATTCAGCTGAGTTGCATTCAAACTTTGTGACATTTTCATTTCGTATATCTTCTGGAAAAACCTGCCATTGAGTTCATCCAGACAGAGTATAACAAGCAGTTCTATACCTGAAGTGTGGTTTATTGTCCAACATTTGAGGAATAACTCATCCAGGTGTGGATATGTAGAAAAAAAGATGTTACTAACCAAGTGTACTTTAAACCTTTTTGTGAAGAAGGGCTGAATCCCCTCATTGTATCTCGTGAGATAGATGTTGGCAGACAGTCAGAAGTTCAGGGAATACACAGTTTCTGATGTGACAAAACTTTTAGGGTCTATTTTTCTCTGTTTTATGAACTGGACAGATGTAGTCCTCACTTACACGCTTCCGGAAATAAGTGGGGTTTGGATTCTATGTTTCTGTATACTCTCTTATTTTCTCTATAGTATTTTGGTTCGATCAGCCCTGAACTCTGCTAAAGTGAGTTGTACTACATACCAAGCAAAATGGTTTATAATAACCTTCCTTTAATTAGGCAAAATAATAATAAAATAAGGAAATGACAGGTTTAGGGTTTAGACAAACCAGAAAAAATAAACATTATTCCCACAGAACAGTAAATTCATACAGGGTAAACACTAGTTATATAACCCAGTATTGTAAACTAAGATAATATGGCAGCAAATACTATCTACGTTGCAGGCCTGTTAAGATGCTCAGGAATCAGGATTCCCTCAGACTCAACAGTCCAGATATTGACTGTCAACTCAGTACCTTGTTGTCCAACGAATCCAAGCGATACTTCACCCAGTGTCCAGCGAGCCCTCTAAACCATCCAAAAACAGTAGCTCAGGGAAAAAGCAGTTGTGTGGCCTTCATGTGCTCTCCACATCGACGGCTCTCCTTTCCCTCGGTGCCAGAGGTACTCTGAGCGACACGGGCACTCAGAGTGACTATCTGGAGTCAAGGTCCTCGTTAACCAGTCCGGTAACGACCTTCTGTAACGTTTTAAGTGCTACTCTAACAGTCACAGCTGCTTACAAAAGTCCTTTGTAGCAACAGCTTTGCTCTAACTTTAGAGTGAATATACAACCAAGAAAACTAACACACAGTTAGACAGTTTCTAGCCAAAACTTGACTATGTACTGTTAGCTTGCATAACTTCTCTTGAAGACAAGTTTTACTCACTTCTAGAAACTTCTTAAAACAACGGCTCCTCCTGTGCTATCCCTTCTCTCGCTCTTGCTTACTGTTCTCTCTCTCTTTCTGCTCCTTAAGGTCTGAATGATAATCAGATCATTAAAAAATATTAGGAAAAGTTGTGTTTCTTGTAGATATAACATTAGGCTTTATGATTTTCTTTTCTCTTAGTCTTGGTACCCCCTAAAACTTTTGTTTTTTTTTTAGGGAAGAACTCTTCTGAATCCAGGACATTGCTGGGCCTTTGTAGATTTCCCAGGATGTTTTAGCCATCGCACTGTCCCACAAAGCTGCCATCATTCATGTATCCCTGGGTTACATTCCCAATATTGTTTCCCCAACTTCCTCCCTCTCTTGTGGCACACTCATGCACACTGGAAGAAAAAGTGCTTCCTGTGTGCCCCTTGTGCACACAGGACTGCAGGTGCCCCTTATGAGCATGCATGAGGGGCATGCTGTGCATGAGTGTGCCCCGCGTGAACACTGGACTGCATGCGGGGTCCTCCTATTTACAATGAGGACCCTGAACCCGGTTCTTCTGGTTCCCAGGAGACACTCTGAGATTCTTCAGTACAAAAGGTCCACACACACAGACACAGGCACTCATGCCTCCAGTGTGCATGTGCCGGAGCATGCATGTGCATGAGTGTGCACCTCATGCACACTCATGCTCCAGTGCATGAGGGCTCCAGTGTGCCCATCATGCAGTTTGTGTCCCCATCTTGGTGCCTGCACGTTGGCGTTTACCCCAACGTGCAGGCACTCCAGAAGGGTGGCACACTCATCATGCTCCAGTATGCATGTGCCCCTCATGCACATGCATGTGTGCACACTCATCAGGGGCTCCAGTGTGCTCCTCATGCACACTGGAGTGCATGAGGTTCAGGGTTCTGACCGTTGTCTGTCCTTATGGGCCAAACAACAGTTCAGATTACCCACCCTTTTTGGTACAGGGTACTGGAGTGTGCCTCTCAGGGGTATTCATTTGTTCTACTGGGGTCTGCAACGGGGCAATGTCAGTGAGACATGGAGGATGTGGTTGGGAGGAATGGCCCTGCTGATCTAAACTCCAGTGGTGAACTGTTGCTGGACTTCTGTGTTTGTCATGGATTGTCCTGTGCATGGCTGTTTGTCCTGTCTCTCTCTTATGAGCAGGATTCATTGAAATATCTTTTTAAATAATTCTTATTTTCTTAACCTCCTCCCAAAAAGCCCTGGTTTTGTTGCATTGCCATAAGCAATGTAATAGTTCCCCTTTCTCCATCATGCATACACAAATGTAGAAAGTTGGGGTTACATTTATTCAGTTTTATAGCTGCATTTAGATACAAGTTCACACAATAGTTCCAAAACTTTGAAGTGCATATGAAAACAGGACTAACAATAACAAGAATAGCAGAAACTTTTTGATAATGTGCAACTAAGTAGCACAACTTTGTCAAAATGTACATAACGTGCATATTGAACTGTAAAACAGGAAATGTACAATCCAGTGTGTCGGTGTAGAGAAAGCGCTCTGCAGTAATAACGGAAATGTTTTTATCAAACATGTCTAAAAAACTGTGCAATAACTGCATGTAAATGTCAGTAGGGAAGTAAATTTCTTGATTTTTTTAGAGCAGTGATTTGATTGACTAATTTAACAAGATAATTTTTTTTTCGTACCTTAATTTTAAAATGCTTTAAATGAAATTAAAAGAGGCAGAAATGAATTGTGGGCAGGTTCTGTGGAGCATTCTGATGTCACATAAGCTGACTTGTCATCAGGCGCTTTTGGAACTTTTGTCAATAAGAGCCGAGTTCCTACAGGAATTCATCCATTTGAAGAGTTAGACGTCGGATAGATTACTTCAAAAAATTCAAGAAATTGAACTGAGCTTCAGTTTTTCAAGTAAGTATTTATTTAGAAATTAGTAAAGCACAGAAAAAAATGACATTTTGTGCCAGTTTTTTTGAAGGAAGTGTGCAGCAATGTTGAAAAAAAGTTGAGCAAGACAAGTTGTTAGTAATCAGTTTTTTTTAGCTCAACATCAAATTGTTTAATTTGAGTAACTTTTTGATGTAAACATTAAACGTCTCATTTGTGTTTTTAGTACCTTTTTTTTATTTACGCGAACTTCACTGAGTATTGAAACAGCAGAAAAATATTAAGAGTTCTACATGCAAATAATGTTTTTCTTTAATTTTTATGGATGGTTGGTGATTTTCACACATGAAATGATTAATTTGATTTGATAGGTAACTAAATGATGTTCTGATCAACATTAAATGAAGTTTTTGATATATTACATCTTTAAATTTACAGTGTTTACGAGGAAAATGACTTTTACTGTAGAGTTGTGTTGGTACATTTTGGACATGCTTTGCACCAAAATGTACCACTTTTGCATGTCTTTGGTTTTTTACAGTCATGCTTAGAAGAAGTGAACGTTTGAGAAACAACGGATACTATGATATGGATGGACAACCTGTTATTTCATACAGGGAGACGCCAATCAGGTAGATTAAATCAGCAATTTCATTAAGTCATATGTTTTTATGCAGTCATCTGCGGATCAGTGTACATTTTAACTCACTTGTATATTTTTCATCTAGGGCCATAAGGAGGCGCTTAGGTCGTCCTGCAAACCACCCTGCAGTCACATTTAGACAGAGGTCACATTATTCTGGTGACAATGTGATTGACAGAGAAAGACAGATGATGATGACTCTGTTGCAGGGTGGTTTTGATATATCAGTCTTTGTCTTTCTCATCTTCGTCACTTTTGGTAAATACTCTCCTACAAACAGTCAATTTGGAAGTGTTACAGAAAGTCTGTATTTTGAAATTTTTTATCACTGTTGTCTTCTGCTCATGTTCATCAGGATGTATTTGCTGTATTATTTCCTTCCACTCACGATCTTCAGAGTTGTCTCTCACAACTCTAACAGACATGGTAGGCTTTCTCTTCCTAATCTTAACACCGATTTAATTATCATGATCAACATGAGAACAAGCTGTTAATTTGTATGTTTGTGCACAGGTTACGATCTTTGGACGCAAAGATCAAAGACATCTCTCCAACCTGGAGCTCTTGGAGCAGAAGGTTGACTACCTTCTGCCACAAGCAGACCTGTGGCCCAACTTTGCTCTGGAGTCTCAAGGCAAGCCATTACAAATAAGATCATCAACTAGATTTCAAATTTTCAGTATTAAAATTTTCTAACTCACATTATTTCTGTTTTTGTGTTTTGTGTACAGGAGCAAATATTTTACACAAGATGACCTCAGAGGCTTATGACATCAATAAAGAAGTTGGAAGGTTTGGGAAATTGTTCAAGAGACCTCCTATTGGCCCAGGCATTGTTATTAAGGTTTGAATGATGATCAGATCATTAAAAAAATAAAAGTGGTGTTTCTTGGTGATATATTATTAGGCTTTATGATTTACTTTTCTCTTAGTCTTGGTACCCCACTTAAATTTTGTTCTCTGTTTTCAGGGAAAAAATCGTCTGGAACCTGGAAAATGCTGGGCCTTTCCAGGTTTCCAGGGACGTTTGGGCGTCTCACTTTCACACCCAGCCACCATCAGACATGTGTCCCTGGGTCACATTGCTAAGACTGTGTCCCCAACGTCCTCTGTCTCTAGTGCTCCCAAAGAATTTTCTGTATATGTAAGTCAAATAAAATGAGTGTCAAAAGTGTAATATAGATATAGCCATGTATAGTATATATTAAGTATACATTCAAAATGTGATAGCATTGATTCCATATGACATTGCTTGATCTCATTCTAAACCATGCAAACTTTCTGTCTGCACTAATGAATTTTCTGTTTATCTCAGGATGTGATATGTTTTCTGATACACCAACTAACTTTCACATATGTTGAAAGAACAAGATAATGAACTGGATTTTTATCTAATTTTGTCTCAGGGAAAGAAGAATTTAGAAGATGAGGAAACTCATTTGGGAACTTTCCAATACGATGAAGATGGAGACCAAATACAGACCTTCAAACTTCCTGTAAATATGTCAAATTAATGTTTTATTAACCAAATACAGTTCTCTCAGAAGACCAGACTTACCTACCCTGTTATAAATATTGATATATTGAAATGATGATCATATATTCTAACATACAATCATAAGGTTCTTCACTGGGTATTACTAGCATTCAATTTAAAAACATACTTTGAATAAAGTACCGTATTATTGTTTCATTCAAAGGCTTCAATGAAAAACTCTACTTAAACCATAAAATGTATGTTAATCTTGCACTTTCAGAGTAGTGGTAACTGATAAAAAGCATGGAAAAATTAATCAATTAGTTAAGTTGTCTAGAAATAGTGCCTAAATGTAATGCAGCCACATTAAGCTTTGTTATTGAACCATAACTATTCCAAAACACAGAGATACAAAGTGTTTAACTTGAACAAATGGAAAAAACTGTAGATTTATTTGGCCATCTATTAAGGAGGAAAATATTGTTGTCTTGGCATAAATCTCATTGAGACTTTTATTACATCACGGTAACAAAATACAAAAAGTCAACCTCTTATTATTAAGATGAGGGAGATTCTTCAATCAACACGGAGACTCTGATTTCTTTTACTGAACATTTCTGTTCAGTTTTATTGAGGAGAAAACAGTGACAGCTGATCACAGCTGTTTGTTACCTAGCAACCAAAATCAACAGAAGCAAGACAGTGACGAAATACAGAACCACATCCGGTTTAGTATTCTTCAAAATAAAAGACTTCCTCTATTCAAATAAATCATGTCTCGCACTTAAATATATTTCACTTCAGCTTTTGTAATTATTTACAATCATGTTAATTTAAATTAATAATAATCATCACGTAATTATGCTCAACATACAATTGTAAGGAAGTCACTTAAAATGCAAATTGTACTTAACAAATAAATAAAAGTGTAAAAAAGTCACAACACTTTTCACAAAGCAATCATTTTTATTGTCTCTGTATAACAAACAACAAAATCCCAGTCTTACTACAAAACATTTTGTTTTCTGGTTAGCAAGATATCAGTATAATTACCTCGCTATCTTGAGATAAACTATGCAAAATGTATTTACAGCAAGGAAAGTTGAACTAGGCTTCCATCAGACAGACCTCCTTTGTTTCTATCATTTATTTGCAACTATGGATTATCAATCTAACCTCCCTAATTTGTATCTCTCTTGCCTTACAGGCCGATAAAGTTGGTTCCTTCCGTCATGTGACTCTAAAGGTGAACAGCAACTGGGGTCATCCGGACTACACCTGCCTCTATAACTTTAGAGTGCATGGAGAAATTGCAAAATGACGAGGAGAAAAGGATGACATATGGAGAAAACTATTTTTTTACCCTTTGATATATCTCTTTTGTATATGTTTACACAATTAATTTTAATTCCTCACAAAAAGTCCTCAGTCAACCATAAGTAGCACAATGGCACAGTTAGTAGCACTGTTACCTTTCAGAAAGAGGTTCAGACGTAATAAAAGTGGGATTCTCTATGGAAGCTCCAGCTTCCTTCCACAGAAATAATAAAAGTGGGATTTGTGGGTTTTCTCCGGGTGCTCCGGCTTCCTCCCACAGATATTTTAAAATTGGCATGTGTGGGTTCTCTCTGGGTGCTCCGGCTTCCTCCCACAAAATAATAAAGTAGGATTTGTGGGTTCTCTCTGGGTGCTCCGGCTTCCTCCCACAATAAAACTTTAACTGTTCGGTTAATTGGTCTGCCCAAAATCTCTCAGCTGTGAATATATGCTGCATGGTTGACAACATAACGATATAAACTTTCTGATAACATTAACATATTCAAACATAAACTCTTAATCAAAATGAAAGATTGTCTGTCCAGGATATGGGAATACAGCAACATGATTTTGTAGATAATGATGCACTAACACAATTCTTTAAGTTCTTTCACAGATATTGAAGTTTAACTTTTTGTTTCATGTTATTCTTTCGGGACTGATTCCAGTGAGAGGTAGTTTACTGCTACAGGCTCAGACTATTTTCTGTTAATATCTATTGTATAGACTTTCCCAGATCTACCTTTTGTAACATGTGTGTATTGTAAACTAATATTGTAATTGAATCTGTCTTTCTTTCAGAAGGTTTGTTGACAGTTTTGTGTTTGTGTGTTTTTTATTTTTGCCCTCTTGAAGCCAGCCAGCCTCGGCAGATGGCTGCTCATCCTGAGCCTGGTTCTGCTGGAGGTTTCTTCCTTTTAAAGGGAGTTTTCCTCTCCACTGTTGCCTTGTGCTTGCTCAGGATGGGGGATCCCTTGGATTAAACATCCATCGCGATCTGCTGGTGACCCCTCCGCAGAATCGCCACCTTAACGTGGTGGAGGGTTTGAGTATCCCCATGACCCAGATGGAGATTTTGTCTTGGGGTTCAGCCAATAGTGAGGCTTCCCAGGGCAGGCTGCCATTGGGGAGGGATCAGACTAAGAGCGATTCAAGGTTTTCAATGAAGGGCTACCAAAGGAATCAGGTATTTCTAGGACACAGACAGTTATCCCAAGTACGGTTTTGACGGAAGTTTCTCCCTATAAAAAGTCAGTAATCTTCTTCACTGATAAAAATGACAATGAATTCACTGTACTCCAATGCCCTCCTGTGACTGCTAATTGTGCTTCCATTAAGGTACCAGAATGTAGGGTCCTAAAGTCACATGGGGACTTTGGTCTATTTGGCCCAAGGGCTTCTGTTCCACATGGCCAACGAGTGAGCAGTGTGAGACAAGTGGAGATTTGAGACAGACACACAGGCATGGAAGGTTCTGGCTCAATACTTGGAGAGGAGCCACTCACCCACACTTGAAGGAGGTCCACACCTTGGAGGAGTTGCCTACACCTGAAGGGGCCAATGGGTCCATGTTTGAAGAAAAACTGCACACGACAGAGGGCCAGAAGGAGGCGTGCACATGTCAGTTTCAGTGGTTCCCAGGTATATGCCAACATGCCTGGGCTTCTGTCTACATGTCTGGGATGGTGCCCACATACTCTTGACTCGTGTTTTAAAAATAAAGGCCTCTAAAGTGCTTCAAATGGTTACTGGTGTTGTATCCACTCATTCTTCTTTGATGGCCTTTGTGCCCGTAACACTCCAAGTCAGTAAATCTCAATCCTTTAAAGAACATTTGGGATGCTGTGAGGTGGAATATTTGTATCAACACGGAGCCAACAAATATGCAGCAATTCATCATCTGCCAAAGATACAACTATACTATTTTACAGACCTTCCAACCTACACACAACAGAATGTGAGAAACTGCAACATTGCATGGCATGTGCAGGGTTTGTCTTCAGAAAACGTTCTTACCCCAGTTGTTGGGGCACCATAGCTGTTGACATGAAACATAAGATATTACTGTGTAATTGAGTTACTTGAAGAAAATACTTATTTATACCTATATATATAATATACACTGGCCTCTGGTAGAGGACCCGAGCTCAGAGGATAAGAACCACCCGCGGTGGGTGAGAAGGGATTTTTTTATTTTTTTTAGTCTATACATTAATTTTCTTTTGAATAGGTCTTCAAGTTGGCAAAAAGTAATGTGGAATTAATCAGTTTTTTATTTTCGCAATGTTTCAATAGTTCTAGGATGTTTTATTGGATACTTTTTATCATAAAGTGTCACATTACCAAGCAACTCCTTCTACGTCAAACGGCAGGAGCCGCGGCAGGACTGCTGCAGCGCACAGGAGGCGATACCGCGCACACGGCGTGTCCAGACCCACCGGAGCGGCGTCCACATTATTCAGCTTTTTAAAACAGATTCTGCTCCCTTCTATTAATAATAGAAATTCTTTGTTTCCTAAGATCTGCTGTGTTTGATTTCTGATTAGACTTAGAGTTGTTGCTGTACACTGTTAAAAGTTATTCTCTCGATTAGTTAATGTAACGTTTTTCTATAAGTAACTTCCAATTTACATAATGAGTTTTTGTAATTTCAACTTAATTTCATGAGTTATTGGCATTTCAACTCGAGGATGTGAGTCAGTTCAGTAAAACATAAAATTCAAATGTGTGAACAAAACTTGACAATCAGTTTTTAAAATGGTAACCGGATCTTAATATCGCAATATTAATGCGATATACAAATAGTGCCGGAAATTCTCTCTTTTCTGATAAAGGACTAAATATGATGTAAGATTTAGTCAGACTTTGTAAAGTCCTCAATCCCAGTTAGAATTGCGTATTAAGTGAAGAAGAGGAGCGCCACATAACCAGATCAAGGACGTCGAAAGCAAAGTCGCGGATGAATACCATTTTTTCCAAGTCCTCCGTCCCAAAGGCGTTCAAGTTCGGCGGGACATTTTTTCGAAATGCGAAGCAAGCTGGAGTTAAGAAGTGAGGTAAGCTGCGTTTTGTTTTTTTGATAATGCCATCCATTTTTCAAATATGTTGAGATAAAAGTTTGTGTCTCTGTTACATGTTTAAACACAAGACATAAAACAACAGCTTGCTAATTGTCGAGGGCAGGTGATAGTCAACGCAAATGAGCCTAGCTAAACTCAGTATGCTACTCGGTTGCGCTTATATAACTTTTCTTAAGAGAAAATAGAAGCAGCTACCACGATTTTTGTATTATACACTACTTCAAAAACACATATGTGGCGCTTGGTCAAAGCTATGCTTCTTCGTGATGACTGCAGGTGAGATAGCGGCTTCGGAAAAGGCTGTGCGTCAGTAATTAGTCTGTTCCTTGTCAGTAATTAGCCGTGTCCTTTGTTTCACGTGTTCGTGCGCACGTGTGTCCCGCTTCTGGTTGGAGGTCTTGTGCGAAATTCGGTTCTCCCTGTGAAAATCTGTTTCCCCCTGCGTCGGGAGCGCGCATTTCAGCCAGAGAGGCGAAAGAGGCGATCTGATCATTTTCACGTCGATTTCGCGGTAAAAAAAACTTATATAACCATGTCATTGTTGTAACATCCAGTTTAATTGGCAGCTGTTGTTTAAAAAATAAAGTAAATAAATAAACGAGGTTTTCTGACGTTGTTTTTTTTCATTTTAAACACCAAGAGAATCGCTCTTTTTCCAACTTTTCTCACATAAGCCTGGCAGAAATAAGTCAGTCACCAGTTTTCTCAACACGTAGTGTATGTAAAGGTTGTTGAGAATTTGGAAACAGTTGCTCTTTATTCCCCAAGATTACGGGGTAAGGAGAGAAAATAATGGATGATTCAGCAACCTGAAATAATCTGTTCCCCCTACATAAAATAGGAACCAATTATTTTACCTGCAAATCCTTAACTGTGCTTATTCCTCTCATCATCAACAATAAATACTGTGATTTTGGTAGCATTTGCTCCTAGTTTGCCAGAGTTATGAGGGGGGAACCATATATTTTTGCTGGCTAAAATAATCCGTTCCCACTCCATAAAAAGGGAACAACTTCACTTACCAGCAAGATTTTTTCTCTGCTTATTCCTCTTATCAACAACAATCATTCATGTGGATTAGGTGTCATTTCCTTCTTATTTGGCAAAATTATGAGGGGGGAACCATATAATTTAGCTGTTTTACCTGCCTGAAATTATCCGTTCCCCCTCCAAAACATGGAAACAAATTCATTTACCAACAGTAATCATCAACAGCAAACTGGCTGTTTTCAAACAGAAAGTTTGAAAACATTTCATCACTATTTGCAAGACTTATGAGGAGGAACCATACATTTTAGCCATCTGAAATAATCCGTTCCCCATATAACAAGGTAATAAATCAATAAATCCATAGAATTTTGATACAGTTGGTCATTACGTTTTCTACATAAAAATAAAAAGTTTATTATTTCATTTTTTAACATCCAAAATAGTTCAAATAAATAGTGTTGTTTTGATGTTATTTATTATTATTTTTTTCTGTTTAAATGTTTCTCTACCAATTTACAAATATTCTAGAAGACAATCTACCTTACAATATAAACAGATAAGGTGTTTTATGAAAGTCAAAATCACGTGATCTTCCTTCAATCTATTATATAAATGTGCAGTTGCTCTGGGTTTTCCTCAGACAGGTTATCACTTTTTGCTTAATGTTAAGCCAAGTATTTCTTTAAGTCAACACTTTTCATAAATATGGACAGTGTGGAACACAAACACTCTTTAACTATAATTAAAGGCGAATATCCACCACACTCGACAAAGCAAAAAAAAAAATATGTCATTCGAAGGAAAGCCTCGTCTTACTCCACTAAAACGATTTGCATAATGTTGGATAGCATATTAAGTGCTTTGTCAAATTAAATGGTGTTAGGTGTCATGATGATGAAACTAATCTTTAACTTGTATTTTATTTTCCACGACG